CCTGGGGGAAAAAATTAGAGCTGGCCTGGTGATATGAGTGTTGGGGACCTGGATCTAAGTGCCTAAGAGCAGAACTGGACCTGCTCCTTGCTGTAGGCTGTTTTGGGTGAACTGGCCAAGGCAGTACTGAAGAGCTCATCTTGGTAGTGAGGATGAGGAAAGGCTAGTGAACTGACAATCCCAGCTACCACCCAGAATCAGAACAAGGGCTATGAGTTGGCCCCTCCCAACATCCACCAAATCTATGAACTGTGAACGAACGGAACCTCCAAACCCAAAACAACAGGATCTCCACAACACAGGACAACAACAGGATATCCAAGGCAAGCCCCAGCAAGAGCCCATTATAGGCAGTGTAGCAGAACCCAGAGGCCTTGAGCCAGACCAATGAATGACTCATGGCAATAAACACAAGTAATGATGTGTGGACTAAAGGGACACACTACAGCATCAATGACAAGATTCTTTTTTGTTGTTATTGTTGCTTTATTTTGTTTGGTTGTTTTTATTTTGTTTGTTTTTCTTTTAAATGTAGTTTTGATGGGGAGCAAACAGGGACATAAGTGGCATCATAGGATCAGAATGAATGATGTGAAATCCACAAAGAATCAGTAAAAAAAAAAATTGAAAATTTCCCAAAACAAAACAAAACCAAAAAAACGCCCCTCTTCACTGGTTGTTGGTACCAGAACACATAATTAGCATTGACATAGTCACCTGTCTGCTGTTTTCATGCTTGAGGGTTCCTCTAGTAGTCTAAACACATACAAAAGTATGAAGGTCCCAAGTATATACAATACTACACTTATATCATCCCAATACTCTGAAGGCCAAAGCAGGCAGATCTCTGGGAGTTCAAAGCCAGCCTAGTCTACATAGCTTTCTCAACCCTTTACAAAGATTCCAGTGGGGGTGTACCAAATCTTCAAGGAAATAGAAAAAAGAAAATCTCAGGCGTCTGGAAAAACATGCACATCTATCCAATCTATTTCTAAGACAGGGTTACTGTGCTCTGGGTGATCTGGAAGTCATGAAGTCATCATGTTATGTAGACCACGCTGGCCTCAAACTCTCAGAAATCCACCCATGTCTGCCTCCAAGTGTTGGGATTAAAGGCACTTTCATATGTCTATACAATCTTAGCAGAGTCACCCAAGTAAAATGCATAATCTATTGATTTCCTGAATACTATCAAAACATACCAAAATAAAAGAAGACCCCTTCCTTCAACAATGAGCATGTGCCTGAGGGTTTGCACACACACACACACACACACACACACACACACACACACACATACTTTGAAGCCAGAACACAGTGAGGCATTGGGAAGGAATCATCTTGACTGAAGACAGTGTTAGATGTTGAGAAATTCAAACTTGCCTACAGGACTTTTTACACTAGAGGATACACCCTCCAAGATTTACTGTTAAACTCTGCTGAAAGTTCATAAAGAGATATATAAAATCCCAGGCACTCCACCCATCTCACATCAACCAAGACCTCCAGGAGGACCTTATGAG